CTTCGAGGGCTGAACCTCAGAACTTTTTCTACACCTCAGTTGGAAATGCCAGTGTTTCCGTATCAATATCATTAATTAGTACACCAAGCCCAACCACAGCAGCCCCAAGCATGAACCCAACAACAGTTCCAACACAAAGTCCTTCACCTCCTCCAACTCTGATACCCACTGCTTTTCCCAGTGTGCTCCCTTCCTCTGGTCCAAGTGTGTTGCCTTCATCTAGTCCAAGAGCAGCAACTGGTCTACCCACCAAAATTCCATCCAAGCAACCAAGTGCATTTCCTAGCACGCACCCATCACTGTCACCATCTGATGTCCCCACTCCACAGCCCACACTGAATCCAACATCTTTGCCAACTGTAGATCCTTCCATTGTTCCAACAAGGGCACATTTCTCAGCCCCTAGCCCACCTCCATCATCCATGCCCAGCGAACACCCATCATATATACCTAGTCAGGACCCAACAGCAGAACCAACCACTGATCCAACAGTATCACCAACAACTGTTCCAACCCCTGAACCAACCACAGAACCAACATCAGAACCAACCCAGGAACCCACCCCAGAACCAACACCCAAACCATCAGGTGTACCATCATCATGGCCAAGTGCACCACCATCTGAGCAGCCATCGCCAGTACCTTCTGCAAGTCCATCAGAAAGTCCATCAGCTCAGCCCACTAGCAAATATCCATCAGTCCCTCCAACTGGAGCTCCCACACAGGCTGCATGTAGTAGCACTCTAAGCAATACTACATCAGTGATCACTGTTGCCTTGTCTGGTGGATCTTCTTCCCTCACTAATCAATATCTTGTGAATACCATGTGGAATGCAAGTCAGGCTATTCGCAATGTCCTATCTGGGTGTGTCCCCATAGTGCTCAGCATTGTGGTGCTTGGCAGGATACCGCAAAGAAGACAACTGCAAGCTTCAAATGGAGAGCTAGTGCAGTACAGAATACAGGCAGAAGTGGAAGCAACAGAGGACCTATCACAAGGCTGGTACCTTGGTCCCCTCATTGATGCATTCAATGCTATTTCTGCTGAAGAAGGTGTAACTGCATTGAGTGCAACAGGCCCAACACCCAATCCATCCACTGCTCCAAGCAGCAAACCCAGTGCTACTCCCAGTGTGCCTCCCACCACAAGCGCTATGCCTAGCAATTCTCCAAGCTTCCATCCCAGTACAAGTCAGGCACCAAGCCCCCATCCAAGTACTAGCCCAAGTTGGTTGACTAGTGATCCACCAAGCATCCAGGCAAGTCAACCCCCAAGCTCAACCCCAAGTGGAAGTCCAAGCAAGTCTCCCACAAGTAGTCCTCAACCAAGTGGTCCTCCAAGCTTCAATCCTAGTACCAGCCAAAGTCCAAGTATTTCCCCAAGTGAGAACCCAAGTAATAGAGCATTACCAAGCTACAAGCCGAGCATCACTCCAAGTCAATCAAGTCACATCCTGAGTACAGTACCCAGTGTAATATTCAGCGAGAATCCCAGTGCAATGCCCAGTTCATTACCAAGTGATGTGCCCACAGTGAGTCCTAAGCCCAGTAGATCCCCAAGCTTCAACCCCAGTTCGAGTCAGCTGCCAAGCAGTTCCCCCAGTGGCAGCCCTAGCAGCTTTCCCAGTGCTATCCCAAGCAGCAATCCTACATTGAGTCTTGTGCCCAGTGGCATACCCAGCTCTGGCCCCAGCAGAAGCCAGAGTCCGAGCCTTGATCCCAGCTCCAACCCGAGTGGCGCTCCCAGCTCTATCCCAAGCGATTCCCCATCTGTCAGTTCCAGTCCCAGTAGATCGCCAAGCTTCAACCCCAGTCGAGTCAGCTGCCAAGCAGTTCCCCCAGTGCAGCCCTAGCAGCTTTCCCAGTGCTATCCCAAGCGCAATCCTACATTGAGTTGTGCCCAGTGGCATACCCAGCTCTGGCCCCAGCAGAAGCCAGATCCGAGCCTTGACCCAGCTCCAACCCGAGTGGCGCTCCCAGCTCATCCCAGCGATTCCCCATCTGTCAGTTCCAGTCCCAGTAGATCCCAAGCTTCACCCCAGTACAGTCAGCTGCCCACAGTTCCCCAGTGGCAGCCCTAGCAGCTTCCCAGTGCTATCCCAAGCAGCAATCCTACATTGAGTCTTGTGCCCAGTGGCATACCCAGCTCTGCCCCAGCAGGAGCCAGTCCGAGCCTGATCCCGCTCCAACCCGAGTGGCGCTCCCAGCTCTATCCCAAGGATTCCCCATCTGTCAGTTCCAGTCCCAGTGATCGCCAAGCTTCAACCCCAGTACAAGTCAGCTGCCAGCAGTTCCCCCAGTGCAGCCCTAGCATTTCCCAGTGTATCCCAAGCAGCAATCCTACATGAGTCTTGTGCCCAGTGCATACCCAGCTCTGGCCCCAGCAGAAGCCGAGTCCGAGCCTTGATCCCAGCTCAACCCGAGTGGCGCTCCCAGCTCTATCCCAAGGATTCCCCATCTGTCAGTTCAGTCCCAGTAGATCGCCAAGCTTCAACCCCAGTCAGTCAGCTGCCAAGCAGTTCCCCCAGTGGCAGCCTAGCAGCTTTCCCAGTGCCATCCCAAGCAGCAATCCACATTGAGTCTTGTGCCCAGTGGTACCCAGCTCTGGCCCCAGCAGAAGCCAGAGTCCGACCATTGATCCCAGCTCCAACCCGAGTGGCGCTCCCAGCTCTATCCCAAGCGATTCCCCATCTGTCAGTTCCAGTCCCAGTAGATCGCCAAGCTTCAACCCCAGTCGAGTCAGCTGCCAAGCAGTTCCCCCAGTGGCAGCCCTAGCAGCTTTCCCAGTGCTATCCCAAGCAGCAATCCTACATTGAGTCTTGTGCCCAGTGCATACCCAGCTCTGGCCCCAGCAGAAGCCAGAGTCCGACCATTGATCCCAGCTCCAACCCGAGTGGCGCTCCCAGCTCTATCCCAAGCGATTCCCCCTGTCAGTTCCAGTCCCAGTAGATCGCCAAGCTTCAACCCCAGTCGAGTCAGCTGCCAAGCAGTTCCCCCAGTGGCAGCCCTAGCAGCTTTCCACGTGCTATCCCAAGCAGCAATCTACATTGAGTCTTGTGCCCGTGGATACCCAGCTCTGGCCCAGCAGAAGCCAGTCCGAGCCTTGATCCCAGCTCCAACCCAAGCGTGGCACTCCCAGCTCCATCCCAAGTAACCCCCCTTCCGTAAGTTCCAGTCCTAGTAGATTGCCAAGCTTCAACCCCAGCATGAGCCAGCTGCCAAGCCGTTTTCCCAGCTCGACTCCAAGTGAACCACCAACAGCAAGTCTTGTGCCCAGTGGCATACCCAGCTCTGGCCCCAGCAAAAGCCAGAGTCCGAGCATTGATCTAAGCTCCACCCCAAGTAATCCCCCTAGTTCAAACCCAAGTGCATCTCCAAGCATTGTTCCAAGCATGGTTCCAAGTGGCACTCCCAGTTCCAGACCAAGCAACATCCCAAGTTTTTCCCCCAGTTCTGTTCCTAGTGCTGTCCCAACCACCACACCAACAGAAACTCCTTCGATGCCTCCGACCCAACCACCTACAACCAATCCTCCAACAAATCCACCGACAGCACCGCCTTTGATGCGTCTAACCGAAACTCCAACAAGCGCACTAACCACCACACCAACAGAAACTCCTTCGATGCCTCCGACCCAACCACCTACAACCAATCCTCCAACAAATCCACCGACAGCACCGCCTTTGATGCTTCCAACCGAAACTCCAACAAGCGCACTACCAGAATCGCCTACGTGGAGTCCAACTCAATCGCCTACGTGGATTCCAACTCAACTGCCTACGTACCTTCCAATCATCAACACCAAGTTAGATCTGGAAACAGCAATTGCCACTTGGTCAAGCACGGGATCATCAATCTATGGCCCCATTGGAAGTTGGGACGTCTCCCGGGTGACTGATTTCTCCAACTTGTTTTCGTGGCTTGAAACCTTTAATGATGACATTTCAGGATGGCAAACAGGGCAGGTCACCAACATGGCAGGAATGTTTGCAGATGCATATGCTTTTGACCAAGCCTTGTCAAACTGGTACGTCAGATTCTCAGCCATGGCAATATATTGGAAATTGTGGTTGTCTCATCGGTTTTGCTTCAATGACACACCAGGGATGTGAGCCGTGTTACCGACATGTCGTATATGTTTGCGAGTGTGATGTTGTTTGATGTACCAATTTTTAATCAAGATTTGTCAAGTTGGTAAGTTGGATTATGCGTCAGGGCAATAGATTGAAAATTGTGGTTTCCTAATCATTTTTACGCTTCACTGACACACCAGGGATGTGAGCAGTGTTACCAACATGAATGGAATGTTTTATTATGCATTTGATTTTGACCAAAATCTTTGTGCTTGGTCAGGCAAAATACAAAGTAGTGCTGCCACAGTAGACATGTTTTACTTTTCTGGCTGCCAATATCCATCCGATCCCGTCTTTTCACTCAGTACCAGTACGTGGAGCCCACTCTGTTCCAGTTTTTGTTAAGTTGAAGCCACCAACACGGCCACCATGCTCACCGTGTAAGAGCAAGGTTTAGGTACATGTTGACCTCGGCAGTCTTGCTGCCAGAGCCCTCAATCCCTTTAATAATTCTGTTTCCTGCCTTAGGTGGTCCCTGCAGGTAAAAGGGTAGGGTTAAAATACTTTTAAGTCACCAAAACTAAATAAGTATCTTAGAGTGCTGCTTTTAAACCAGCTAAAGCTATTTACATGCATCCTAGGGGGGTCTGCTTCAAGCAGGACCAGCGAAAGCTATATCTAGTATTCTAGCTAGCTAGGGGTATCTGATTCTAGCTTGCTATGGGAATCTGCTTCTAGCTAGCTACTCTATGGTGTCTGCTTTCTAGCTAGCTAAGCGCAAGTTATGCACTAGCTAAGCACTAGAGGTATCTGCTTCTAGCCAGCTAGCTAATAGGGGTATCTGCTTCTACACTGAAACCTTTCTGCCGAGGTGCCACAGCTCCGCTGGCTTAAAATATATAGTTCTTGTTCTATGTGAGGTATTCTGCTTTCCTGTATTCTGCTTTCCTATATTCTGCTTTCCTGTATATTCTGCTTTCCTGTATCTTCGAGGGGGGACCGTCTTAGGCCTGGCTTCCGTAGATATTGTCAAAGACAGTGGCAGCATTCCGTAGGACTTTCCTTGTACTTCTCAAATGTGAACGATGCTTGTGGCCAATCGTGGCCCATTCGTTCAGGTTCACGTGCACAAATATCATTATCGTGACAGGGGTGAAGGAAGGCCTCCTGTAAGAACAGCTTCTGCATGCCTTCGCAAGCCTGTCACTGGAGTCTCCTTGGCCATGATTGTATCGGGTAACAACGGCGTCTAACTTGCTTGATGATGAAGTCCACTGCGGAACCTTGCTCTGGGCTGCTGCACACTGGAGCTTTTTGAGTGTCTCCACATGATCCAGAGAACCAGATGACGAGAATGATTGAAAAAATGTACTAGATCCTTGATCTACGTTACGTTATCTTATGATTCGTATCGGATTTTGATCATGCAACACACCTAAACCCGTCCCACATCTGCGTATAAGTTATGCAAAACAGTTTCAACTTGATTTATGAAGTTTGGTGGCCGACCAGCCACCATGCGATTCTTCCTAACATTCCATGAGCTAGTCAGTCTAATCTAGTCCAGTCCAGCTAGCTAGTAGCACTGGTCGCAACAGTCACACTTGATGGATCCCGTGTCACAATCGGCCGTGATCTGCAAGGACTGGCTGCTGTCAATGGCACAAACGGCGTCCGGTACTTCTCCCGACAACTTGTTTCCATGAAGCTTCAAGGTTTCCAGATGCGTGAGAGCATCCCAGACAGGAACATCTCCCGAGAATTGATTCCTGTCCAACTGTAGGTCCTTGAGATGCGTTAATTCCCCGAGCCGTTCCGGCAAGGGTCCTTGAAACTCATTCTGGCTCAACTCCAAGTGCCTCAAGCGTTTCACATCCGAGATGAGACTGTCCGGAACGTCCCCGGCGAGCTTGTTTTGTCCCAACGAGAGAGTGTCTGCAACAGCCCAACCAAAAAACAGAACAACAACAGACGAGGAGTCAAGTGATGAAAGTTAGAATCAGCAAAGCAAATGAAAAGATTCACCAAATGTCATGTCATGGCATGGCATGTCCACATTAAATTTTGTACGTACCCAACTTTTTGGACATGCGTGGAGGCAGTCCTCCCGTCAATTGATTTCCGCTCAAATGCAAGAATCGCAATTCGGACAATTCCGCCAACGCATCAAAGGGCAACTTTCCTTCGAGTTGATTCTGGGACACACCAATGTAAGTAATGTGCGGCATATCCCGCAAAAAGGAATCGGGAATACTGCCCGTCAACGCATTGCCATCCAAAAAGAGATTCTCCAATTCCACGAGTGGATCTTGTCCATCCGAAAGAGCCGGTAGTTTGCCCGTCAATTGATTGTTGGACAAGTCCACGTCGACAATCTTTTGCAAGGCAGGAAACTGCCAGGGCAAATGGCCCGTAATGCGATTGTCTCCCAAGAGCAAGTATTCCAAATGGGCCCATTTGGTCCAATCCAATTGGTGCAAACTACCACCAATCTGATTGTGTCGTAGATCCAGTTCGTGCAACTGCTCGAGTGCCGTCAAGATGGATGGCAATGTGCCCGTCAATTCATGGCCGGTCAAGTTGAGTTTGCGGACATGACTACTGCTGCTAGCACTTGCACTAATCGTAGTAGCGGGACCACTGCGATCAATAGTCGTTGTAGCACGGGCCCGCAAATCCTCGACGTCATTGTGACAACTGATACCCTTCCAGTTGCATTCGGATTGGGCCGACAACCAGAGTCCTTGTGTCTTGCTGGCTTGTCCAGATGGTCCAGCGTGGCCAGGTTCCAAACTCATGGAATCCCGGGCGGCCGCCGCCGCCGCCACTGGAACATTGCCACCGACCTGTTTGGGCATCCATTCATAATAGAGTACGGCAAGAACAAATCGTTGGACGAGTTGCTCTTCGGCGGCTTGTTGTGCGCCAAGATGACGCCGTCCATTGACGGGCAATCCCGCCAGGGCAATGGTATCTTTGGCAATCCAATGGAGTGCCTTGGAGGGCGCCGATTTGGGGTCTTGTAGGTCTGCTGGCGTAACAAGGGAAAGTTCCGACAGTAACGTGGTCATGGCGGCAACTTGATCGGTGGGTTCTTCTTCAACAGCAATGGGTTCTTTGGGCAGAGTCGGCACGACATCAATGGGATTACTACTGGACGTGGCCGACGCCGATGCGACTTCGTTGGAGGACGATGGAACCGTAGTACTTCCATAATAGACCACAACAATGACAAGCACGACAAGTCCCACCATGGCACACAAAAACAGCGGAATCAGCAGACGCGCCGCGACATCGACCACCTTTTCCCATGTCGACATGCGATCCCACTGGGCTTGTCGATGAGGATGATACCACGGTCCCGTAGCGCTCCGCGATTTCTTGGTCTTGCCATCCTGCGTGCTGGATGGCGACAAATCTTGTAAAAAGATTTCCACCATGCTCTGGTGCATCATTTGTTGGACACTACTGGCGCCTTTTTGTTTGCTCTCGTATTTGCCCGCTTCGGCATCCATCAAATTGACGGATTGATCAATCGTATAGAAATCTTGATGGCGTTCAAACAAGTTATTGTTATTGTTGTTTTTCGATGCTTGATCCTTCTGACTCGAGAGCGATGGCACACGACCGGCTTTGAATTTGCGGGCGGCGGCATCTCCATCTTCGTACGAAGGATTGAGAAGCGACCGATGGACGTTGCGTTGGGCTTGGGCGTCGAATTGCGTCGTTCCTTGGTTAGTAGTAGTAGTAGTATTGGAAGAAGAACCACCACCAACTTTACCACTGACGTCGTAGTCATCATCGTAATCTTCCAAAAAGTTCTTGACAAATTGACGCGTCGAAGTCGATTTGCTGGCAAAGGATGTTCCGGTCGTCGTCGCTGTTGTGGTCGGAGCGGATGTGGTACTGATACTCCCCGGCACACTACTGTTACTACCAATAGAAGTACCACTGGTATTGGACGTCAACCGTGGTCGCGTCATGCGTTCGGCCGTATTGGTCGCGAGTGCCGCAGCAGCGCCTACCGACATGTTGGAATCACTGCCAAGCAAATCGTGATCACTGGATCCCAGCAATTCTTGGGGTGTCATGCCACCCAACAAACTACTCGCAGCCGGAGGTGTGCTTCCACCCGCGGTCCGTTTGAACGATTGACTGCGACGAATATGACTGCGGCGACTATTGGCCGTCGGATCGCGACTGCCAAATGGAGACGACATGCTGGTGGCTCTTCCCACTCCAATGGAGCTCAATCGACTACTACTCGATGCGTTGAGACCGTTACCGTGACTTTGATTACTGGCGTCGTCCAACAAATCAGCACCACCAGAAGAAGAGGAAGTTGTGGAGGATCGTGCCGATGCGCGGTGAATCAGACGACTATTGATGGCGTTCAATCCAGTCAATGAGGAAGAACTGCCGTTGTGATTGTTGTTGTTGCTAGCAGTTCGTCTTGGGGAAAGACCTCTTTGTCGTCGATGATCGTCTCGAGTCTTTTTATTGCCTTCGTACATGATGATGAAAGGATGACCTTGGTCTTCGCTAGCTAGCTAGTAGCTTCAGTTACAGCTGTTGTTGCTATATATTCGGTATTGGTAGAGTAGTAGTATGGCTGGCCTTGCCTTGCTTGGTGGTCGTAGAGATGAGAGTGTAGAAAGCTCGTTCCAGATACAATCCAAACAGTGTCCAACTCTCACTTTCATTTTCCTCCTCAACTTCTTCATTCATCCTCATTACAATCTCTTTTTTCCATGCTGAACTCTGCTTCTTGTACTCAGGCACCCGATCAACTGGTGCACGCTGCGTTTGCCGTGTTGCTACTCTTGGCAGTATACAGTTTCCACAAAAATGCGACGCAATCTTACTTGGTTATCCCGTGTACCACCACCATCCTCTAAGTAATCCTAGATGGTGACTGGCGAACTGGTTCACAGGCATCTTTCGTCATACAAACTGGCATCTCTTCCTCAAACAGGGGTCTTATTTAATTAACCACTAACATTGTGGAATTAGGGTAATAGTGACCTACCAACTTGAACCATCGACCGACTACTCATTAGTATAGATGAATGAGTAGGGATAGTAGAACACAATAGTGACCCGAAGTCATTCTTTCTCGTAAATTGGACCACTCGGAAAGAACTATGACTGGAGAAAAAGAACACTTTTCGAACAGCTTGGATGGTATGGCTCTTTGTTCAAAGTGCAAATTGGGACGTGCGGGACTGACTGAGTGTTGTTCGGGACTGAATCTTTTAGACAAAAGATATCCAAAGATCCGACGGAGATCCTTGACCATGATTGCATGCACTGTTGCCCTGTTGCCCTACTAATGTACTGTGCGGTATGGATTCTTCCTTTTATTCAGTGAAGTGGAAAGAAACCCTCCCCCGCAAGGGGAGGGGAAGTTGAAAGAGAGGAAGAGAGGAAGAGAGGAGGAGGTTCTTAGCTTTAGATGTCATGTCAACTGTAGCTTCCTCTAGTTTTTATGTATAGCTCTGGTTTCCTCAAGTTTGCGCATGTTGCTACGGTGTGGGTTGACATCTGTGCCACCGGTATCTTCTTCGGGTTTAATTGATTGCCTTTGAATTTTGAATTGGTGCATTGGTGGTACACTTGATTTTGTGAGTGTGGATGGGAATGGCAGTCTTGTACACTTGTAGGCAACAACCAGGTTTGCCACCAGTGCATTATTGTGAAGTTTGTTGGTTGGTTGGTTGGTTCTCAGCTCCGCTTCCAATCAGCTTCGAAGTCAATTCTTTGTATTCCTTCACTGACTGCCTTTCGCTCAAGGATAGAGAGATCCTCCCCAGAGAAATCCTCAGGCTCGTATTGACCGTTGTTGCCATGTCCACAAACTGGACTCTTTCATTCGGTCAATCACGGCGACACTCCTGTGAATTGTGTGACTCTTATGTGGTCTCGATCCGCTCTGACGGATCCAGCTCCTGCATGGCACCGTTTCGAGACTCCTGTGCTTCGAGCTGATCCTTCGCTCTGACATGCCGATGCGCCGATCGCTTTCTTGTCCAATCCGATCTTTTCAATCGACGTATCTTCGCTGGTACGTCTTGAGTTCAAGGGCTAGGCTCCAGCCGCTGCTGTTTCGTACGAAAAGCCAGGATCTTCCGATGGATGAATCTCCACCAATCTCCACTCGAATCGGCTTCTGCTTGTTATGTTTGTTTTAGTGTTACCCTCACGAACTTAATAATTTTGGATCCACGGCGACAGCTGAGAAATAGATTCCATCGCGGGAGTATCTTAACGGGTCGGCTACAACAGCAGCAACGATACCGACATGGCTACAACAAGCTACCTAACTGGAACAACCTGAAAGTGGTTGGTTGCTCATGACATTTCTTTTGTGGAGACACTCGCAATGATCGAAGCCGTCGGAAGCAACGTAGGAACAAAGATCTTCGACACCAAGGATAGTGCACACTTACTACTTGCTCGCACCATCAACAGTCGAAATGCGGGATGGCAAAAGCAAATGAAATTCATCCTTGGCCAGCTTGGCTGCTTATTATGGATCGAGCAAAAACTCAAAGATCATGCACAGAACCTAGCTAGCTAGGTAGCTTTTGCTGGAACAGCAAATACCGGAAATTGAAGCCACAGACGACGTTGCTTCGTTCTGGGTGCGTAGCCGTATCAACAACAAAGCTCTCAAAACCTGCACTAACTACTCCTGTTCCAGTAGACCGACTACCGTACAAGATGGAACATTGCACATCTGTTGCCGTACAACCAACTAACTACCTTGCCAGCTTGGGCAAAATTGAATCCGCAACAGCCATCAATGCAACAACAACAAAAAGACAGCTCGGGCAAGTCCATCTACCAGAGCAACATGCTGGAAAGCAAAATGTGAGTGTGTAAGTGCTAGCTACTAAGAGCACGTCCACCTGGATCCTTGATTAGTGTCTCTTGGCAAGGGGCAAACGTATTGTGAAAGCTACATCTATGTATGTATGTTTGTATGTTCGCGTTCCTCTGCCTACACAACTTCCCGCACGATCTTCATTCATCGTGGGCAGGCAGCAAAAGCGAATCATGATCGCACTGGATGGCAAGTTTCATCACCTTGGCAACCAAAGGTGCAAAAGTCTGACGTCTCCAACCAAGGCAAAAGGGTGGCTGCCTAGCTCCTCCAAGGCAAAAGAGTGTTCTGGGAACGCAACAGACTTGTTGCCCCCCTTCGACAGTTGGCAAAAGGGTGGGTTGGGGCAACAAAAGGTGCAAAAATAAGTTTGATGTCTCCAAGGCAAAAGATTGGGGCCACAAAAGAGACAAGACAAAAGGGATCACACAGCTGTTCACCCTGAGTTGGGAGGTGCAAAAGTTGATGTATCCAAGGCAAAGGGGAGCTCAGTTTCAATAGCCTTGGTTGAGCAAAAGGAGTCAATGAACAGCCTATGGTACAGGACATTTGGTCACAACTCTTCAAGATGTGGGTGTGTAAGTGCTGAGTTGGACAAAAGTTTCCTCTCCACGGGTTGGGCAAAGGTTAGAAATCGGGCTTCAACCTCTTGCTGTAGAGCTGGGGGGTCGGGTGGCGACCACTTACCGTGTACGCTACTTTTGAGCAACTTTCCAAGTTTTCTAAGCAAAAATGTACCGTACCTCTAACCCTTGCAGCGTAAAGAGGTGCTTTTCAACATTGGCTCAAACTTCTTAATATTAAGGTTGGATGCAGTGATTGATTCGATCTCATCGCTCTTTCTTCATCGCATATATAAGGGGGTTTAGAGGAGGGAAATTAGCTACGGAAGCCAGCCGGGGCCAGGCTTAAGCAAAGAACAGTCGAAATTCAGGACTAGGTTCGGAGGGATCAGGGGCAAGAAATTGAGGACCATTACGGGGGGCAAAGGGTTTGGCTTTGCGGGATCACGGAGACATAAATGGGTAGCTTTCACAAGGGCAATTGAGATACGGGTCTGCATGAAGAACATCATTTGAGAGTAGGAAAATTGAGTTTTGGAGGCAGTAGCAGAAGCAAGGCGTTGTAAGAGAGTCTTGGCTTGAGGGGCAAGCATGCCATCCACTGAAACAACAAAGGGTGGAAGGAAGCGCGATTGGACTCGCACGCGTCTTTATATTGGAAATTTTGTCGCGTCTTGTTGGGTTAAAACTTACGGGATTCTCGTCAAACAAGCCGCGAATAGAAAGATCACCACGTAAGAGCTCGGGGGCTGGAGGGGATTGAGAGGGGGGGAGGAAGGGGAGGTAGGTAGAATTGGGTGAGGCAGGGATAGTAGGGGGGGAACAGAGGGAAGGGTGGTTCTGATGGACGCTAGAGGAACCAAAGCATTCCACATGCAATAGAACCAATTCATTGCGGATTTCATTATGGCGACGGATGTTAAGCCGCCGCGTTTGCATCCAGAGCATGTGGAACGCTGAAGGGACCAGTACAGCCATCACAAAGGCGCTGGAAGAGCTGGGGGGGTAAGACCGAACGGAGAAAAAGAGCATCACGCCATTCTTGAGCAGAGAGGTGAGTGCGTTTGGCAATATTGGGATATGACTGCAAGCCAGGAGCCAGTGCACGACTGCGATTGAGGCGGGACTGCTCAGCCGAGTGAGAGTGGCTTGAGGTCTCGAAAGCCGCTTGGTAGGCGTCGTGATGTCGTTTGGTGGCGCTGATACGACCTTCTGTGAGGGCTGTGCGATGGTCTGCAATTCTGAAGGGATGACGTGGGGGCTCAATGAAGGGGTGGCAGGGTCGTGGAGAGGGCTAGGGGGGATGGGAATTAAGGGCAAGGGGGCAAGAAGGGAGCGGGTAATTTCCGAAGTAATTTCGCGACTGGCAATGTAGCGGAGGGGGGCTTCCGTAATGGGGTTGGGGAGAGAAAGGCCGGCAAACTTGTTTGGGAGGGAAGTGAGAGCTCGGGGGGGCAGTTCGCTTGAATGAAGGTTCCATAGAGCGGGGAGAAGCTCAAAATCCAGAGCATTTTCCAAGGGAAGCCAAGAGTCCGAGGGGACACGACAGACACGTTGCACAAATTGCCATTCCATTTGGAGAGACTTTTGGCAGGCAATATAAGCCGACTGGGGGTAGAACTGAGCCACTTCACAAAGAGATTGAATGCAGGCCGTCCAAGTTGTGATTTTGGAATCAACCCAGGAGGAAAGGGCTTCAGGTTCGCCGATATGACCACCGAGAAATCTGGCACCATTGGTGACTTTGAGTTGAGAGCCGCGGGTACGCGTAAACTGAGTGGTGGCTGTATGAAAATTGGCACTGTGAGTAATAATTTTGCATTTATTGCGCTGAACAAAGTAGCCGAATGGTTTGCCTAGCCGAATAAGACGGTCTAGAAGCAATTGTAAATCAGTAAATTTGCCGGCAGCATTGGCATCATCGGCATACCAGAGATGCAAAAAGTGAGGGAACTCATGGTGAAGCCGTTTAATGAGAGGAACTAAGGCTAAACCGTAGCAGTACATGGCTAAAGGATCACCTTGCACGACTCCAACAGCGCTGAGGATAATGTGAGCTGTTCCAGCGGTGGAGTCGTGAAAAATAACAAGGGACCAATGTTTGTAACTGTTGAAGGTAAAGCGGGCGCCTTCGGGCCAAAGATGGCGAACTGTATAAAGCATGGCAGTTCGATTAAATTCGTTGAAGGCATTAGAGGCATCTATAATAAGGAAGCCGAAATCAGAGTCGAGACTGTCAGATGAGCCAAGGTGATGATCCCAAACATGATTGGCCGTGTGGACGGCACCTTCAATGCCTGCTTTAAAACCAACGGAAAGCTGAGAAGTGCCAGCTGCTGCAGCCGCAGCGGGGCCAGCAACAGCAAGGACACATTTGGCAATGTAGCGTCGTTCAATGGTACCAATACGTATGGGGGCGTAACACCGGGAAAATTTATCGAAGCTGGCCGCGATGGCATTGAGAAGCTCGGATGGCGCCCAAGGAAACCAAGTTGTTTGGCTTGCCATTGAGCAAAGAGACCAAACGCAGCTCGAAGTTGGGTACTAGCTCGTCGATAGCGAAGGAGCCAATTTTTGAGAGTTGGACCATCGGTGCCGCCTAGGCCACAAGCACCGAATAGTTTGCCAGCAACCTGTTCAGTAGTTTCAGGGGTAATTTGAAGATCTACAAAGGCTGGTGGGGGAGCATCGAATTTGGGAAGCTGGGCT